ATGGTTATATAATAGCAGCTGCATTCTGGCTCGATAAGCTGTATGTTTTATATTCATTTAACGTATGATCTGATTAGTCGACTTATCGAAAAAAAAAATCTGTGATTAATCGATTATAAAAATAATTGTTTGTGGCAGCCCTAGGGTCAAACAATGTTTTAGTCAAACAGAACCAACAAGAATGAAACAAAAACTAAAGAATTAGAGAAAAAAATAAATGTTAAATGTAAATAAATTCTAAGTATAATAAATTAATAGTTTTACATCTAAAAATGATATTTTATTATTTTAATCTATTTTCCTCATTCAGCAACCTATTAAATATCTGTTATGTTTCATGTAGGAGAAATACACATTTGTTTTCAGTCAGTATTTAATAAAGCTGACAAAATAAATTGTTAAAATATGTATTATGTGCTTCTGTTTTTAACTCAGGAAATTATTTAAAAATCCTTCATTTTATGGGAAGACCCTCTTGATTCAAGAGAAAACTCCAGTTTTTTTAAATGGCTGCTTATTAAATAATTGTTAATCAATCTACAAGGTAAATCAACTTCAGATTAATTCATTATCAATAACTTGCATCCTTAAGGGGTTAACTTAATCTATATCTACTCATATTCATGTAATTAAGCATTTTAATGATTTGGCCGATTAATCGATTAATCGAAAAAATAATCAACAGATTAATCGATTATTAAAATAATCGTTAGTTGCAGCCCTTCACACACCTGACCTAAATGAATTGGACCACAGAATGAACAGGTTTAGGTCGGTGAATCTAATCTTGTAAATGATCTGTGAATGTGTTATCGTATGACTTTCAGAAGACGACAGACTAATTTTTTTCACATTTCTATATAATTTAAATGAATTAGAAAGTAAACATAGTTTAATTATTAACAACAAGCTTTGCAGCCATAGTTGGATTTATCTGATAAATGCAACAGAATGCACAAAAAGGAGTTACAGTAGGTGGTTGTTTATTCTCCTTCCTGAAGGACCAGTCAAGGGCAGCACATGTAATTTGAATTTATTGTCTACAATGACAGCAACATTTAAAGTTTTATAATATTAAGCTCAGGTCTTAAAGGTAGAAACTGGAGTCAGTTTTTCTTTATTTACCCCTTTTTTGTGTCACATAATGACCCAGTGATTAATAAGGACGTATAGTGTAGCACAATATCTTTTCAACACTCACCAAGAAAAGCTGTCAAACTTGTAATTATGCACAGTTTTGTTACCTAACGTCGCTACAACACTTACCACAAGGCCACATTCGAGGAAGTACAAGTTTTCATGGTACAAAGACAGCAGTTGAATAATTTGTGTTAAAATCAAAGTTAATCCACTATTTTCCACTAAAATGTGTGTCTTTGTCTTTCATTTACCACTTCTGAAGCCTTGGATCTGCGTCGAAAAATGTCATACTTGTGAACACGTGACACAAAAACACCAACAGAAGAATGACTCCTCACCTCAACACAAGTCTTCATGCCCGAGGCAGCTGCGTAGTGAAGGCAGGTATTTTTCTTTTTGTCAACGGCGTTGACATCGGCGGCCTCGTACTCTCCGTGGTCCAGCTTCGCTCCTTTCCACGCTAAGATGATTTGCAGGCAATCTGCTCGACGCTGCTCGTCTTCGTACGGCCGTGAGATCCGTGGCTGCAGCGCCCCCTCGCAGGTCAGGATCCGAGGTCCCATGCAGAGAAGGTGCAGCGACGTCTCATCGTGCACATTACGCTTGTTGGGATTACCGTCTTTGATTAGGAGAAATAACCTGGAATAAATAAACCGAATATCAATAACAAATAATGTGATCTGGGCTCATAAAAAAAAGCCAGCATACAAACTTTATTTTTAGTTTGGTGTTGGTCAAAAAGCAGCAGAAGAGTTTTTCTAGTCATATTTCTTAAGTCAAAATATGTATACGTAATTTATAAGAAGCATTTTTCATATAACCAAAAAGAGGAAGAAATAGGAACAAATATCCACATTTTCTGATGCGGTCTAATTAACACCTACCATAGCAGATGAAAGGCTATCATGTTTCTGACCATGTCTGCATGCATTTATTTTATTGGCAAAATGTCTTGCATTGAGGAACCAATTTTTATGAAAAATTATAATTTAACGAACATCGACACCTATATTTTTGTTGTCAATTTAATACAAAATACCACAACCAACTAGGGCTGCAACGATTAATCGATTAACTGATGACTAATCGATTATTAAAATAATCGATGACTAATTCAATAATCGATTAATCGTTTTCTTTTTTTGTTCTTTACTTTGTTTTTCTCTCCAAACTGCTTTGGCACCTTCCACTGCCACATCTGCCTTTCT